AATTATAAAAAAACTATTAGACCGCCCCCTCGTCCCCCCCCCCCCCCCCCCCCCCACCCCCCCCACCACATATAACACAGAGACACAATCTGTTACTGAATTTATGGAAATCAAATAATCCAGATCCAACATCCGTCTTGATTATTTGAGAAGCTGAAAACCTGCAGAAGCTGAATGTTGAGACAAAAGACAACATGGACGGACAGACCAATAGATGGACAGACAGACCAATGGACAGACCAATAGAGAGACCATCGGCCGGACCAATGGACAGACAGATCATTGGCCGGACCAATAGACAGACCATTGGCCGGACCAATAGACAGACCATTGGCCGGACCAATGGACAGACCAATAGAGAGACCATTGGCTGGACCAATAGACAGACAGACCAATCGACAGACCATTGGCCGGACCAATAGACAGACCATTGGCCGGACCAATAGACAGACCATTGGCCGGACCAATAGACAGACAATGGACAGACGGACGGATGGACATTAGAGTATGAACAATCACAACGGATGGAGACAGAAACACCAAGATGAGCTGCGGTGGAGGTGAAGATGCTGCGAAAGCAAGTGAAGGGTTAACGAAGACAACACAAAGACAAACGAGGTCTTTTTGATTTTTTACCCAGTCGAGGTCTGGACCATAAGGCCGGTCTAGGAGGGGAGAAGCCCCGATGAGGCTGTCTGTTAACTGTGGGGAGAAAACCGAGTGTTACGAAAGAGAAAGAGACTCTGAGACCAGAAGAGTCCTTGAGTTCGTCTTTACGAGTCAGAAATTTGGTATTGACTCGGAACAAACATCAGAGTTCTACAGTCAAGAAACAGTCAGAGTTTTGTGTTCGGAAACAATCAAACTGGTTCAAAGTCATTTTTGTTAAGTTTTAAACTAGATTTTGGTTTATTGACTGAGCCTAAGAACGTAAACCTCTTTCAGCAATGAACTGAAACAAAGTCAGAAAACAAAAGGCAAAAACACAAAGTGTTGAAAATAGAAGTGAATCACAGCGTAAAAAACATTGTAAATCATCAAATACAGAAGCAGTCATGTCAACACCAAACCAAGCGGCCAATCACAAGCTGAGGAAGTGACGTCATTCTGATATCTGACCTCTTCAGAGGTTAGAGGACGTCAGGAGGAAAAGTATTGATCCACCGAATAAAGACCTCAGATCACGTCTCTCTTGTGGAGTGAAACACACCTTTAAATATGATCAAACAGTCACAGTGTGATGAACTTAATCTGGATTATTGATTAAAGGGATCAAATTAGTCATTTGAGGGCCAAAATCTTTGATTAAGAGTTTGATATTGTTTGGTCCCTGAATCATAAATACAATCGGCTGATTAGACATTTAAAGATCCATCCAAGTGTTTTGCTAACTGACTGTTAGCGTTGTTGCTAGCTTGGTTAGCTTTTTTCCCCTTCTTCAATAACTCTGAATTGAACCAACTCAGTTGGTTTAACTTGCACGTATTTGTTTCAAGGAAACGTCGTTGGCAATAATCAGAAAATGATAATTAAAATAAAGAGATACTGGACACAAATGAGTGATTTAATGGCTCAAAGCTTTCCTCCTGACACTTCCGGCCTCTGAAGGTTTCACTAAAGAGGAAAAAGATCTAAAAGACACAAAGTTCAGGAGGATGAAGAGGAAGAGGAGGAGGATTACCCCCGAGGATCCCAGAGGTGGGGGACGAGTTACTGGGTCTAGAGGAAGAGTGATGTGGTCTTAGGCCATTAGAAAAGGGAAAGGAGGGGGCTCTTGTTGCCGGCCTCATGGATCTGGAGACCATGGTAGCTGAAGGCGGTCGAGGAGACAGATTTCTTTGGCTGCTTTGACCTAAAACATTAAAAACAGTTGGAGGTCTTTTGTCACAATCTGATCTATTGCCAGTGAAGCTGCAGCCCTCAGTGGTGAAGTTAGCGATGGAAGGTTTTACTCTCATGATGATGGATTATGATCACAATCTGAGAAGAACAACAGTCATCTGATGAGGTTTGATGAGGAAACCATAACTGTGAGATTGTGAGCCGCATGCAGACGTCACAGTGGGATGAAATGTGTTTAAACTCCAGTCCTGTGGACAAAAAAGTGGAAACAAGATGGACGGCCGACAGAAAGAGCAAAGACTGCCTCTGATTGCACAACACGGGCAGCATTTCATGAGCCCATTATTACCCCAAATGTTAGTTCTGGCTCTCTCATTGGCCAGAGCTGACCTCAGAAGAGAAGATCTGTCCTGTGATTTGCCAAAAGCTGTCAGGGAAAGAGAAGGTTTAAGACAGAGATGGTCCAAAACCTGAATTCAAATCTAAAGAAAAGAGATATTACTTATTTGTAGAACAGAAAAAAGAGTTGAAAACACAAACAAACGTCCGGAGAAAGATGTGTAAACGGTTTAACTGTTTGCAGATGACGCCCTGATTATTATGGAAGTCCATTGTTTCATGTTTTCATTGTGGTTTAACAAAGGCTCACCATTGTTTTCCTCTGGGGTACAAACAGAAGGGATGATGGGAAATTGAGGCATGAAAGTTTGACATTTTTAAAATTAGAAAATACAAAATGTGTTTTACTTGTAAAGACTCACAAAGACATTAATCTGAAACATTCTGACCACAGACCTATAAAGAACAAAAACAATGGAACTTTGAAACTTTCCATTTTAAGAGCTCAGCAGCATCGTCTACAAATCTGCTCACTGAGCTTCTTAGACTTAAAGATACAAAGACAAAGATTTGTCAACAAAACATCAAAAACACTTCAGAGACAGAAACACTTTTCAAGGGGAAAGTTCGGCCACATGTTGATAATTCTCAAATGCTAACTGACCTTTAAAGTGTAACTGTTTGCAGACGACACTCTTATTTACACTGAGATCATAAAGAGAGATAAAGTAGCATTTCTCCAAATATCAAGAGGCTTGTTTTTTACTGTCTTCTGCCTCATCAGGTGCTTTACAGATATTGGATAACCTCAAACTGGTTTTCAGCAGGATTCAGCTCCACTTTTCTAAAACGTGACATTTATTGATCAAGAATTTGAACAAAAAGGGAGGTTGTTGGTGTAAATTACCGGCAGGGTTCTGAGGCTTCCCCGGTGCGTTAGAGGGCGCCTTAGTAGTTGGCCCCTGAAGCAAGTCGCCATTGGAGGGTAATTTAAGGAGGGGTATGGTGTTGGTATGAGGGGCTTTGGTGGGCGGGAGTTGGGGGAGGACAGGAAGTGGATCCGCCGGTCGGTCGGTGTCATTTCTAACGGTGTTCTCTTCGTCTGCGGCCACAGAGAGAGGTACCGGGATCATGGGAACCTGATCCTCTTTGGGTTTCAAGATGACAAATGATTCTTTGATTATGTAGTTCTTCAATTACAAAAAGTACTTTTTTTAGATCCCTCAAGGTCAAAGAATCTAAAAAAGTATAATGTTGGTAGAAACTCAGCCTTTACTTTGAAAAGAGAATCTCCGGTCAAATATCCAGAGGACCTGGTTTTAGTCCCATAATCTGGTACCTCATGGAAACACAGAAAAGTCCAGAAGACATTGTGCTTGTGATGAGACAGACAGACAGTTTGAGGAGTTTGCAGAACGACTTGGGTTGTTTTTCCTCTGGGGAAAATCCAACCACGTCTGTCTCTGAATTGGTCAACATGCAGACTGAACATGAAGCAACGACAACCAGAGAGAGGACAGAAGACAGACAGAGAGACATACAGACAGACAGACGACAGAGAGACAGACAGAGAGGACAGAAGACAGATGGTCAGATGGACATAAATCTAGAAATGTGATAATGTATTTAAGTCTTCAAGCTCTATATTTTCTCACTGAAGCACTTTATAACGATTAATTACTTAAAAAATGAGACACTTTGGATTCATTTAGTCCAAATGTCCTCTCAGCTAAACCAGATTTGTGTTGTTTATCTGTTCTGTTCACATTAACAGCTGTTTTCTACTTGTTTACAACTAAAGGTTTCATTTTAACAAATGATTGAGTCCCAGAATATTCTATTCACCTCTTAAACTCTGTTGCAGAACCCAAACTTTTTGTAATAATGGTGTATAAAACATGAGTTTTATTGTGAAAATACATAGCTTTAGAGCTTAAAACTATCAAAACATTTCAGTTCATACCAACTTGTTTCAAATGAAGGAGAACCAAAGCCTGAACTTCAGCTTAACTTGTATTCAGGTAAAATATTATTAAATCATTTGGTCCAACATTTAGTCCCAAAATATTCTATTAATGTATTAATTAAACTCTGCTGGACCAATCATTAGCATGTGTTGTTCGGCTAACTATATTTATTTGAATAAATAGATTATATTACTATTGTCCAGTTAGCTGGCCAGCACCAACATCTTACCGGCTAACTAGCATGTTAGTGGTTAGCTTGCCTGCTACAATTACTCATCAGTTAGCCTTTTTCTAAAGGACTTCTGAATGAATGTGTTTTTATTTCAGACTGAATAACTTGTTAAATAATGTGGTCATCGTTGAGCTAATAGTTAGTTGTTTAGCTAGTTAGCTGTTTTAGCTCTGTAGCTTCTGAGAAAGACAAACATACTGAAGTTTATGTTTGAGAAAAGATAGAAAACAGGTGAAAGAAGAACTCTGATTGGATCAGAAGCACAAATGAAGCAGCGGCTTTTATAAAGGACTCAAAGTGGGTGGGGCAAAGTGAACTTACTCGTACCACCTGACATCCAGCAATGCCACGCCTTCGTATCGACTTTCTAAACCGGACTCAAGGCATGCTAGCATGCAGCCAATCACAACAGCTGCATGTCCCACAGACCCCGCCCCCTTCCCAGGTGCATCACAGGTTCAGCCGAAGCAGGTAGAGACAGGAGGAAGCTGGGTTGGTTAACAATTAAAAGTCTTTGTTGTTACCAAGTGACACAAGAGGGTGTTTTGGAGGGAAAGTTTCCTGGCGGCTCTCTGGTAGTGCTGCAGGAAGTCAAACGTTTAGGGTGTCAAAATAAAAGCGGTGAAAGTATAGAAATATAACATGATCGATTAGATTCACACGTTCTCAATGTTGAACGAGCTTTATTGAAACGTCTGTTCTCAAACTGAAAGCGAGACTTGAAGTTCATTTGAATCATTTTGCGGTCAATTATGACAAAATTAGCAGCATTTTTATTTGAAAACTTGTGATTTTGGTAGTTTTTACCAAATTTTATCTTACAGAAAATATGAAAGTCCTAAAATTAGATAAACCAATCAGCTTTGTGACCTTTATTTTCTACGTTTATTTTAAGTAGAAACGTTTTTGGCATCGTATTTTACTACGATGTCTTTACTTTTGTAGCGATGAGAGCCAAAAGACTCAATTCGATTTTTGATAAAAAACCCAAAGTTAAAAACCAGTTTCACTTTCAGTTTGTTGTAAACAAAACGTTTCATATTGAACCAGCTGAAACTCGACAGGAAGCGTCTCTGGCGCCCTGAATGAGAAAATAAAAAGGTGACGTTTTTGTGTGAAGGAAACAGGAAGTGATAATCACCAAAGGAAGTGCGAGGAGCTCCGGGGAAAGCTGAGTTTTTGAGGAGAGGAGAAAGTCGAGTCCTGTTATGAAGAGCTGAGACACAACATCATCATCGGTTAGTATTTAAAAGAGTTATTAAAGTGCAGAGTGTTCTTTATGAATGTTTTTAACAAGTCTGAACATGAAACAAGTTTTTATATTAAAAGATTCCTTTAATAACGTGAAGCAGAAATAATGAGATGCTGCCTCAACAGGTTCAACTTTACCAGAATAAATAATTCTCTTCTTACCGGGACGAGGCGGGAAGAACGCGTGAGGTTTCTAAAAAACACAGACACTCATTTCTATTAGAACATGTACAAACTACAAGTCCCAGAATGCACTGTAATAAACATCTTCATGATACATACATACAGACATCATGAACATTAATGGAATAAATAAATAAATGTACCAGCGGCTTCGCCAGAGGATTACGCAGTTTGTACGGTTTCTGTGTGTTTTTATCTGTGAAATACAGGAAGTGTGGAAGAAGATCAGGGTCGTATCTTTGATTTAACGAGGTCACATACGGATGTTAATATTATTACCACATATATAACACATATATAACACATAATTAGCAACAAACATAAAAATCGAATTCAAATATTTTTTTCTCCTTCAGTTTCGGACTTCTATGTCGTAATAAAGACTTGAGATCTTTTAAAAATACACATATATATATATATATATATATATATATATATATATA